GAGGAGTGGCTGGTGGGTTTGAACCGCCAGCCTTCTGGTGAGCAGTCAAGTGCCTTAGGCACTACGCCACCAGAGCTCATATATATATATATATATATATATATATACACACATACATATATATATATCCTCCAACATTACTGAAGAAATCTGGAATGTTCTTGATCAAGGGTACAGTTTGGAAGAAGGAATGTGCCTACAATGCCCAACTTCTCACTCTAGCTTAAGTCAGAGTGCCTAGGATTTCCTGCTTTAGAAAGCAGTATTGGGAATAGAGCGGCCATGGTGGAGAGAGGCCTGCAAACAGTGTCACATGAAGAAGAGTTGAAGAGATTGGAGATGTCTAGCCAGATAATGAAAGTCTGTCCCACAGTAGAGGAAGTAGGTTTTGTTCTCTGTTGCTTCAAAAGGCAGAAATGGAATCATGGGTTTTAGCAGGAGAGACTTGGTAGGGTCAGCACAACACCCTGAAGACAGGTACTCTATGAAAATGTAGAGACAAGGAGGAGAGGAGAAATCAGAGCTGGGAGGGAAAACTGCACCAGAATGGGAAAGGCTAGACTAAGGAAGGCAAAACCAGAAGAAGGTAGCAGAGAGGCCCTAACAAATCATTATGAGGTAACCATGGTTCTTGGTTGAGAAGCATGGGTGCCCCATGAATAGTCATCTCTTCAGGGAAGGCCAAGGGCAGAGTAAACATTTTCTGTTGGAGACACAAGAAGCCATAAAGATGGTATTCGTTTCTGCAGTCTCTTTTTGCTGCTTTCATTCCCTCCCATCCTGGGAGGCATGTTTTACATCTACAATAACATAAAATTTAATAATCCACGTCCATAAGACATGTTTTGGTGAAACGGGGAACCCTGAGTGTGACTTCAGAAGCAACATAATCTTTGTAACAAAGGCTCTGAGTTAACTACATGGTAACATTAGCTAACTAATGAGACATTTAAACATCAAGCTATAACTTGCTTTTTAATTTTTTTTTTTTTTTTGCAGGATATCAATGGATATTATAAAGGGAAACCTAGATAGAATTTCAAAACCAGCCTCAAATTCAAGAACACATCCTGGGAGCAGAGGTTCAAATTCTTCTTTAGAAGTTCTCTCACCAGAACCAGCATCCTTCAAGGTAATTTACTGATTAGAACTCATTTAAACTCCTCCTGACCTCTTAGCAATTGATGAAACCAAAGCTGTTGTTAAGATCCAATTTTACGGTTTTTCTTTAGAGAGTGTGCTTGGGGAACACTCAGAGTTTTTGGATTTTACTCTAGATCATCTAATATGAAAATACTCTTTCTCTCCGTCATTCCCTCACTCTCTTCTTTCCTTCCTTTCTGTCTTTGTAGCTTATTCATAGTTGTACTTTGTTAAGGCTTACTTATTCATTTGTTTTACATAAGGTTTGTTATTCTAGTATGTCACCATTGACTCTTACTATGAAAAAGATCCTGTATTTAAAAAAAATAGGTTTTGGGTAAAGACCATGTAGTGCATGCTTGTATGCTTGGTAGGCACATTACCTGGTCATGATATCTAAACTTGAAGGTTTTTTTTTTTTTTTAAGAATTGGGTTTCTCATCTGTAATAGGGGACAATTTATTCTTTTTAAGGTTATGGGAAACAAAAATTTCGAATCTTACGGTGAAAAAATATTTGGAAAATAATGATGGTTTTTGGACTAGACTATCAATTACGAAACTTGGAGTTTTTGTCGGTCATGATTTAGTTCAGGAAACTGAAGGAACTACAGGCATTTCTGTAGAAAGGGATTGAATACAAGAATTCATTTCCTATAAAACCATCGGAATGCCTGAAGCAAGGAAGTTGCGGTAGGGGGTTTCTTCTGGATTATTGGTTTCCAGCTGCTGCTGCTGCTCCTGGCACTGCCATAGGTTCCCGAGAACCATAAAGCAGGTGACTGGTTATGCAGATATGGCTGCCTTTGATATTCTTGGCAACGACCAGTGGGAGCTTAGGAAGGCAGCCTCTGCCTCATTTCTACTTTTCAAATCTTGTGCAGATGCATCAATTGAATGATCCTAATATATATCCAGATCCCTAGCTGTGAGCTAGGGATTTTAGTTTGTTTTTTCCTTATGGATATTTTTCAGGAAAAAAACCCAATAGTTGTAATTCATACAAAAATCATCTGGGTTCTAGGTAGGGAATCTAATTGTTAGGAAGGATTTTATTTACAGAGTATCCATGCCTGGGACTAATATGGAAGTATGGAGTGGGGGACATGAATAATGGAAAAGGAAGGTAGAATGTGTGCTTGAGAATGAAGAAAAAAGAAAAATGACATACGTAGGCCATAAGGTAGGAAGTGCAGGAAGGATCGGAGCAGGGAGGCTACTGGGTGTGGGATGAGGAAGGTGGTTGGTAGCTAGCGGCGTGGGGAACCATGGGAAAAATTGTGAAATAGGCAAAGTTTACTTTCAGTTCTCCAGTTTCATCTTTTGCTTCATCGCTCCCTGCTCATTCTAGGAGCTGGCATCACATGGGTGATATCCATACACAGGGGGCTTTGTATACCCTGGTGTTTGCTATACAAGTATGTTGCTAATATCTAGTCATCTCTTGTGTATACTATATTCCCCCATGTGGGAGTCCATTTCCTGGCAAAGGTCTGCTAAATTCATGTATGCCAAGATACAAATGACTGACAGGGTTTATATGACTTTTCCCCAGCAATTTTAGCATTTTCACAGAAACATATGGCCTTAAGGATTTACTGGATATTGTGGGATTTCAGGGTTTATCCGGCCTTTGACAGAAGTATGTGTTTGAACATAGAATCTTCCCCAGCAACCCCAAGCTTACATAAAGTTGTCACTGTTTTGTCTATTTCTAAGCTGGGCCTCTAACCACTGGATGTGTTCTATACTGGACCTGTTTTCTCCTCTGTAAAATTAGGATAGTAATACCTAGACTATAAAGGAGTCTTGGTGGCACGATGATTTAGCGCTTGGCTGCTAATCACAAGTTTGGCAGTTTGAACCCGCCTAGTGGCTCTGCAGCAGAAAAAACTGGCCATCTGCTTCCCTAAAGATCATAGCCAAACAACAACAACAACAAATCAAAACCAAAACCCAAACAACAACAAAAACGCTATGGGGTAATTCTTCTCTGTCACATGGGGTCACTATGACTCAGACTCAACTCAGTGACACCCAGCAACAACAATCCCTATACCAGAGGGCCTTGGTGAGGAGTGAACAAGGCAGTGTATAAAGTGCTTAGCATAAGACATGGCCAGTAGTAATTACTCAATAAATGAACTATGATTATCTATTATCATACTAATGATTCCACTGGAGTCTATGCAAGCAGAGATGTTTGCATATGTTTAGGCAAATAGAGATGCTTTTCAGTTCTATATCCCTGGCAGCTTAACGTCTTCTGCCCTGGAGATTCACAAGGAAGCCCAGATTATATGGATTGAATTGAGCATGTGTGTACATAGAGAACATAAATGCCTCCAAGGGCTGAGCCCAGAAGCATTGGTGTAGATAGTCCTTCCATTGGGAGGGAAAGGATGATCATCTGAGAAGTGGCTGCCTCGCTCTTCCTGAATTTTTCCCTCTCTCTTAGGCTGTGCTCACTTTTATTGTGACTTATACTGCCATGCACCACCCTCGGGGCCCTATTAATACCATTTTTTTCTTTTTTCTGACCTGGTTATGAGTGTCTTTTTTCAGTCTCTCTCAGAAGAACACAGCTGTACCAAGCTGGTGTTTTCAAAATGAACTTAGCTAAAATGTAAAAGGAAACCAAAACGAAATAGAAAAACTGAATAGCATAAAAGCAGATTGATTCTCAAAGTGCATAATTATGATTTGAAGCATCTTATTAGAAGCACAGGACCTCTGGTGGCATAGTGCCTAAAGCATTTGACTGCTAACCAGAAGGCTGGCGGTTCAAACCACCAGCCACTCCTTGGAAGGAAGATTAGACAATCTACTTCTGTAGTGATACCGCCTCAGAAACCCAAGGAGGGGCCACTATGAGTCAGATCTGACTTGATGGCAGTGGTTTTTTATTTTATTTTTTATTAGAAGCACAGCTTGATTCATACTAACCACTTATCAGCTGCTCAATAGCTACATGGGAATAGTGGCTATTGTATTGGACAGCACATCTTTAGACCTTTAACTCCCCATCCGTGTAAATTTAGGGAGCAAGGACCATGGGAGTCTTGTTCACTGTCCCATCCCAGAGCCTGTCAGATAGCAGTTCTCTTCAGGACTGAGTCCCAGCCCTTCTCAGTTATTGCTGGAGACATAGAGTAGAATGGTGGGGAACGGTGCATATGCTTTGATGCAAATGTTATTACATTTAATTGTGTAGTTGCATTACATTTAATTAAAAACATTAGATTTCTAAAATATTTAATTCTATTGTGTGTACATATGTATGTTCACATATATACTTCCATTGCTGTTGTTAGGTGTTGTTGAGTCGGCTTCGACTCATATCCACCCTATGTACAACAGAATGAAACACTGCCTGGTCCTGCGCCATCCTCACAATCCTTCTTATGCTTGAGCCCATTGTTGCAGCCACTAGCATTGAAATATTCTAGAAATTTAAAGTTTTAAAAAATGTAGTATTCATTATTTACAGCAGCAAAACGATGGAAACAACCTACATGCCCATGATGGAAGAGTGGATGACCAAACTGTGGTAATACACATAATGGATTGCTATGCAAAACTAAAGAGTAATGTAGAGTCTGCAAAACACCGCATAACATGGATGAACTTGGAGGGCATTATGCTGAGTGAAATAAGTCAATCACAGAAGGACAAATATAGTATTAGTTCATTGTTGTGGAGGGTCAAGGAAAGGTTTATATATGGATGGAAACTTTCTTTGTTGGTTGCCAGGGGTGGGAAGGGAGGGAACACTGAAAAAAAAAAAATGCATTGACCCATGTCACTTTAGTTTTTTGTATTTCACTGTACATAAATTATATTTCAGTAAAATTCATTAAAAAAAAGGGTTGCTATGTCAAGAAATAGAGATGTATTAGTAGTGTTCAGAATTAAGTATAGCTTCCTTAATATTGGCCACTCTAATAGTTCTAATAGTTACTTACATTTTTGTTTATACAATTAACAAGCTAATTCTTCTCAAATACAATTCTTAATGAATCCAACAGTGGGATAATTGAGAGAAAGACTTATACTGTTCATTTCAAAATATACATTTAAGAAAGAATGACCAGACTTTTTCAAAAGTTTTATTGTGATATGTTAATAGTGATTGAATTGACTATAGTGAATATAACATTGCCTTCTTTTGAAAATGAAAAATATATTTGTGTGCAGTGAATGCAAAGAATTGTGAGGTTTTAGAATTTTATCTAAGTAAATTTCAAAACATTGTTCCACCTTCTACTTTGGAAACTAGCAACTGGGATCTTAAAAGCTTGCAAGCAGCCATCTAGATGCAACAATGGGTCTCTCCTAGTCCAGAGCAAAGAATGAAAAAAACCAAAGATTCATGGAAACAGTTAGTCCTAGCAACTGGTACACCATGCAATCCATAGCCTATACAACTATGAGACCAGAAGAACTAGATGGTGCCTGGCTTCCACTGTCAACCACTCAGAGGGAGATCTATGTAGGAGATCCTGGATAGAGAGGGAGAACAATGTGGAACAAAACTCAAAATCATTTGGAGGGGAAAAAAAAAAAAGGGGGAAGACCAGGTTTGCTGGTCTGATAGAGCCTGGTGGAACCACTGAGACTATGGCCCCTAAC